ACTTCGGCCAGAATTATCAAGCTGTTCCTGATAAAGTGAGAAAATACTTTGTGCTTTAATTCCTTGAGCATCTGTGGTGTCCCTGGACTTTGGAAGAAGGCCTTGCAATTTGGCTGATGTTGACTTTTGTCTCCAATCTTAATGATGACCAGATCATGGTTAAAAAAGACAGTTACAGCAGGCACATGGTTGTCAAGGCAGTTAAATGATATCCTGGAGAATTGTATTCTCTCCCTGCTCTGCGTTCTTGCTATCACTGAGAAATTCCATCATAAATCAAAATTCTAATGGCTGCAATTTCATGTCTTCTACGTGACCCATATGAACCTCAAGTGTGGGTTGTAGGAGAGCTGAACAACACCAATTGCTGCTGAAGTAACTGTGAACTCATCTCTGAACACTGATAAAGTTCTTTGGGAAAAAAAGAACAGACCCTACATATCTTAAAATGGGCCCTCAAAACTGCCAGATTCTTCTAATCTGAGCATCACTTCCTCAAAATCATCAGAAAAATGGGAAATCAACACTTGATTACCACATATTGCGTAAAACTATCTGGACAGAAAAGCCTGTAGTAAAAATGAATAATTCTGCTTTCAGAGATGCTTCTGCATTCAGTTGGTGCTCAGCAGATAAGTCCTGGGCTGTTTCTGGAATACTTGAATTAAAATATTACTCTTATCTGTGTTGAGTTTTCTGCTTTATATATCCTGCTATCAGACTGAAGGGCCTATGGAAGAATCGATTCCTCTTAAGCTTTGGGTTAGGAAGCTTTTTGGGTTTTTTGGGAAGCTTAGAGTTTCTCCATCATTTGTCTGTTGTCTGCCTGAACTGCTGTAATACTGTTAATTCACCGAGTGCCTTTTCTAATCCTTGTAGATCTGCCACAGCAAAAGTGGAGAGATCAACCCTATGAAGGTAGCTAACCTGGTGAAGGCATATGTGGAAAAATACAAACATATGAGGAAACATAAGAAATCTGATGGTGAAGATCCACGTGAAGTGGAAAACTGAGAGCAAGCCACAGCCAGCATGACTTGGACTGAACTTATTCTGGCTGTGAACACCTATGCCAGAGGGAATAATAGATCTGCAGTTGCATCTCATTGAAAATAAAGTGCAGAGAAGCAAGATTCTAATAGGACTTATCGGCAGAATGTTCTTTTGAATTGTTTCCATATGGGAATGAACTTGGGTTTTGGGTTTTTTTGATTACCTACAGATGTAGAACTAAATAACAATCAAATGCCTCAGACCAGCAGAGTAATTTGAGGGGGAACACAGAAGAGATTAAAGTTTGGGACTCCCGGATTGCTACAGTTTTCAGGGTTACTTTGATCACATTTTTGGGCTGTGCACCTGTCTTGCTAAAAGTTTGAAACTGGACACCACTTTTCATATACAGTATATTGAAAGCTGTATACTGTTTCCCTTGTGTTTGTTTATCAAAATATGGGTTGTCTTTAGAAACTTCTGATTTAATACTTGAAATGTTGTATTTTTTAGCCCGTTCAATGGTGAGCGAAGCTTTATTTGCTCTGTCATTTGGGGATTACAGAAATGAGTTAACCTTTATAAATTGACTTCAGAAACACTGCTCAAGCTGTGGTGTTTATTTACGTTCTGTTGGAAGTATCTTGTTAGTGACAAGTTTAATTTCAGGTGGGAGGCTGTGTTGCACTTCTGTAAATAACGCACTGATGGCTGGTTTTCTGTCTGCCTTTCAGGAAAAAATTAAACAAAAAGTAAGCATTGTGAATTTTCAGTAACAAGCTGGAGGGATAAGGTTGAACTGATGTACAAAGCAGAAATGTGACAGAATTTATAAAGTTATTTTGAATGGTTTTAGTCCTATAGAAGGTGTCATTTGTTTGTCTTACAGCTGCCTCTTGCCCTGGTTATTCTGTATAAACCTGCACGCTTGGCTCTCGCGTAAGGAATACTGTGTTTCTAGAAGAGAACTGGAGTTGCTAAGTAATTGTTCCTCCTCCCTCTGTAGGAGGACTGCTTTTCCTATCGCGAAGCAAAGGAGTCTGGCACACATACTGACTTCATCTTGCTTTATTTAAAAGCACTCCTTGTCTGCATTGTACTGCAGAGCAACCAATCTTGTAAGTTATCATCTGAAATACAGTCACTTACTTACAAATATATTCAGCACCCTTGAACCTGACAAAAAGCATCATCCCCCATCTAACCATGTTAGGGAGAAGACATTTAACAGGGAAGCTGAAGAGAAAACCGGTAAGTTACAAACAACTTAGACTGGCTTTCCCTTCAATGGGGACTAAATGTATGTGGCCTGTTGGACCAGATGGCAGCACCACCTCTTATGTGGGGGCTTTCCTAACCTCTGAAGAGTGCACTTGGAAACTGCTACCTTTGAAAATAGTCTTGCTGCTTGTCTTCGAAGGGAAAACAGGCTCTCTGGGGTGAGTTTTATAAAGCAAATAACTGCTGCTCTTCCTCCCCCACCCCGGTGAGCACAGGAAAACTCAAAAATAGCAAGACTTTTGATCCCTTTTTGGCATTCCTAACTTCAGTGACCACAGATTTTGAGCATAAGATTTTTGTCTGCATGCTGTAATTTTGACTGTGGTTCCAAGTAGCTGATTTGGGGACTTTTTATTTAAGCAAAACAAGCCCATATACCAGTACTGTCTGGACTGGCAAAATGCTTCACTCCCATCTTCCAGCATCCTACACAAGTATTTATGGATGAGCTCTGAGCGTTTTGGCGTTGATCCTCCTTGGCTCTGTTTGCTTCCCCTATGAAAGTGCAGCCTGAATGGAGTATAAGGGATTGGTAATTTAGGCCTTTCTTTGAAGATTTGGGAACAAAGGCTCGCTAAGACTACAGAAGAATAGCTGGAAGAGAAGCTTTAGTTTTAAAGCTAAACTTGTAGCTAGAATATATACCTGGCAGATGGGTGTGTGGTTGTAAATACACTGCTGATGGATTTCTTGACAAAGTTCAGAAACTTTTATGGCACTGTTGGCACAAGAAGGAGAGAATGTGATCTAGTTGTGAATACACTTAGGCTGGAAATAGGACACCTTTGGATGTATTAGAGGAACAATTTTGCAATACTCTGCTTTCATGAGTGAAAAAGGGTAGGTGGTGGTAAAAAACAAAGCTTGACCAAATAATGGAAGCAACTGCACTGTTGACCAGGAAGACAATGTCAATCTGGTTTGTTCCTCAGACTGATTCACTGCTTTAATACTTGGTTGGTGTTAGCCTTGAATTAGCAGTAAAGAACAGTCTGTTGCAGGATATATTAGGAGTGCATGTACAGTGAGGACTGTTAAATTTCAGTTACCTCTGCCGCTGCCTGGAGGAGCAGTGAAGCTGAAAACTGTACCTTCTGCACATGCTTTCCCCTTAAGTTACATGAACAAGAATCCTCATGCCTTCATTCTGTCTACCACTAAAAAGAAATCCATCAAACTGTAAACTGCAGAAGCAATGAGAAAGATAGCTAAAAATGCCTCTTCTGGCATGTTCTAGAAAAGTCTTTCTAGTATATGTGCATTCTCTCTTTTTTTTTTTTCTGGTTGACCCTGGGATTACATGCTGCCACCTGTTTTAAGGGAAGAAATCTTATTTATTCAACATGTGCAGTAGTTGGGGAGTAGCATAACCTCTTGTTAGTGTTCTTTCCCTCCTCTGCAACAGTGGTAACACCAAAAAGCTCCTTTAGCCAAAGGCAGGGATGCTGCTGTAAGAATTTGACTCGGGAGCTACTCTGCCACCATCTTCATCTCATAGGTGACCTCCAGAGCTGCTTTTGGGACATAGCCATGGCCCTGGTATCTGTCCAGGGGTGCTTGGGTTGTTGGGAGCTGCTCTGAGGATGGATAAAGAGAGGGTGGGGTTCCCAGGCAGCGCTTCGGTAGGCGGGGAGGGAAACCAGAGGAGGAAATGAAACAGGGAGGCTGAGTGTCTGGGAGGATCCAGCTGGTGCCACGCTGCAGGGCCATGACCCAGCCCGGAGCCTGTGAGTAGCTGCCCCAGCTCTTTACCGCTCTGGTTCAGAGCAGTGGTGGGAGCCCTTTGGCTTGTCTCTCCGATGGTGCTGGAGGAGAGACCGCGTGTTTGTGAGCGGGGGAAAGCTTGCTTTCCTGCTGGGCTCGTTGCATGTCCCAGGTTTAGGCGGTGATGCTGAGAACCGATGATGACTCGGTCCTGAGCAGGGCGCCTTGCGCAAGGGGATACTGTGCTTGGCATCATCTGCTGAGGAAGTGAAACGAGGGAGAGGAAAGCAAATCGGACTGTGTTCTGTCCTAGTATCATGTGATCCCTACCCCACATCCCCCAGCACTCTTCTCGCCTGCAAACCTCTCTGCTCTAAACACCCTCCTTTGGGGGATGTTCTCGGCCTTCTTGTGCACCCTGTCCTGCAGGGAACCCCACTGTCCCTGCGCTATTTGCCCAGTCTCCTGGGACTGGGAGCATCTCTGTGGGGAATTACAGCGTGCATCTGGAGCGGGGGGAGGATGTGAGAGAGGAAGTGTCTGAACTCGCTAGCCCTGGCCTCAACACATCTCCCCAGCTGTGGTCGAGAGCTGAGGGAGCACTGGACGAGTTATGTGGAGAGCAGCTCTCCTCCTGATGTCGGCTCTGCCCTGCCAGCCCGCTGCTGGGATCAGAAACCTGCTGGTTTTGGGGTAGATGCATCTGCGGCTGGAGCTCTCAGTGATTTCGTGAGAGCAAAGCTGTTGTTAACGTGAATGCTTGGCCTGCAGGTCAATGTCTGGTGGGCACCATTTCTTCCTGTGCCTTCAGGCCCAGCCAAGATTCTTGTGCCATGGCTTTGAGAGGACGCAGGAGCTGCTCAAGCAGCAACTGTGTCTGCGCTGTTCAGCCAGCTCCTGTGTTTTGCCTCTGCTTTTTCTTGCTGGCTGAAATGATCCCGAAGTCATGCATAGCGCAAGGGGGGAAAAAAGGGTCTGCAACCCAAAGGGTGAAAGTCTCTCTTAACCACCTTCCCTGTCCCATGTGTCCAGGTCAGGAGCAGGAGGATGGTTTGTGTGAAGTGACTCTTTCCACCCAGAGGCTGCGTGTGCTGCCTCCAGCGGTCCTGAGCAACCTCACGCTGGAGAGCCTTGATCTTGACAGGAACAAGCTCAGGAGCGTCACCGGCATTTCTAAGCTTTGTAACCTGAAGAAGCTGATACTGTCCAAGAATGAGATAGTGGACTTTCCCAATGAAATCCAGAGCCTGGTCTGTTTAGAGAAGCTTGAGCTGAATCAGAACCAAATCCGGGTCATCCCAGAGGGGGTTTTCTCCCATCTCCCCAGGCTTAAACACTTGCGGCTGAACAACAACCGTCTCTGTGCCCTCCCCAGAGACCTGGCAGCTTGTCGAGGCAGCCTCCAATACCTCAACATCTCCAACAACCTGTTCCGGACCTTCCCCCAGTCTGTACTGCAGCTGGCACACTTACAGGAGCTCCACGTGCAGAATAATGCCCTTCGGCAGCTCCCTAAGGAGCTCTTCCAGGGGCAATCCCTGAAAATGTTCAAGGCCAATGGGAATCCTCTCCGGAAGCCACCCAGTGAAGTGTGCGCTGGTGGCATCCAGCAGATCCGGAATTACTTCACCCAGCTTCAACATGGTTTGGGGCAGGAAGACAAGAGGGTCAAGACCATGTTCCTGGGGGCCTCGCTGGCAGGGAAGTCCACCATCTGCAAAAGCCTGAAGCAAGGGCAAACCAAACTGGTACCCAAGGAAGAGCGAACAGTTGGGATCGAGATCAGTGAGTTCCGGATTGAGGACTTCACCTTTCTCTTCTGGGACTTTGCTGGCCAGCTGGAGTACTACATGACTCACCATGTGTTCATCACCCCACAGGCACTTGTCATCCTTGTCATCAATCTCCACATGTAAGGGCTGAGCTGGTTGGATCCAAAGAAGTGGAGTGGGAGAAGAAAAAAGGGGCTGGAGAAGGTTTCCCCTGGGTGGGTTCACATCATTTCCATTAGACCTCAAAGCCTGGTATTCTCACCACTGTAGTAGCTGGCTGTCCCTCTGCCCCTTTCTGCAGATCACTTTCAATTAAGCCACTAGATGTGTCATCACCTTACCGAAGTCCTGTTTTGACGGGTTAGATGAGCATTAACTCCTTATGTGACAACTGATCCTTGTCTAAACGGCTTTGCTTTCTGCCTTGGAGATACCTCTATGAGCCCTCCTGTGGTGCTCCCTGAATGTGGAGGGAGCATCAGGCTTCGGCTTTGTGGTACAGAAGGATGCTCCCACCCACAGCAAGGATGGACTCTGCTACACCCCTGGTTTAGCTTAAGGATGGGAAACTTCAAGGGTGAGCTTGGATACTGCCCATGACAGCTTAGGACATCTGAGCTCTTCTCCAGTAAGCCCTTGGGAAAGTACCATGTGCTGTCAGGGCTGTCAGGTCAGGCCTGTGCTGGTGGAAGTTGACTAGAGATCCAGAGGGTTTAGATGTGAATTTGGGATTTTCTTTCTTTCCCTCTCCAGGTACCAAACTAATGACAAGACTTTCAAGGAGCTCATCGGTTTCTGGATCAACAACCTGTCCATGCGAGTCCCAAACTCGGTGGTGCTTCCTGTGGGAACCCATGTGGACTGCTGCCAGGAGGAGGAGGTGGAGGAGAAAAGGCGTGACATCATGGCCAAGATCACAGCCATGCTGGCAGAGAGAAAAAGCAACCTCGCTCACTTCATCGACAACCTGGAGGGCAGCGAGGAGCCCGAGTTTTACGTGGACCAGTGGGAGAGGCTGAAGGAGATGGAGAGCTGCACATTAACCGTAAGACTGAGCTTATCCTGGTTCCTTGCTGTCTGTGGTCACCTTGTTGTCTCTGGCAGCCCAGGGTGCTACTGGTGACGGTGACCTGGTGCTAATGCATCAGGCTGCTACTGCAGATGCTCCCTGGGGATGGGCTGGGTGTGGTAATCCCTGGCTGTGACCTGCTGGGTCCTTGTCCCTGCTCAGTGATGGGCATCTCCTCCTGTGGCTTGTAGCAAGTGCCTGGGGAGGAGTGTGAAGGGGAATTTACCATCACCAGATGATTTTCCAGGAGCTGCAAAGGGGTGAAGGAAGCACCCTCTGAAGCTAAGCCAGCAGTGTGTCCCATCCTTGGTGATGCTCCTTGGCATTAGGTCCCTTCTTTACCTCGCAGGCCAAAAGACTCCTCTGGATGTGCTTTTGGCAGGTGCGTGCTTTCTCTCTTCCAGATCTTAAACTTAGTTGCTGTCAACTGCATGGATAACCGTGATATCAAAAAGCTCGAGGCTGCTATTCTGGAGCATGTGAAGAATGAGGAGCTCTTCCCCGAGGTCGTCCGAGTGCTGCCGCCCATCTACAGGCAGGTGGAAGCTGCCATCGTAGATATTGCACAGAGCGAGGAGATGGCATACCATGGTGAGTGGTCCATCAGCCCCACCGTACCTTCCTGGGAGAACCTGCTGTCCTGCTGCTGGGACAGGCTCTCCAGTTCTTGCTGCACCTTCTGGCCCTGCTCATGTGGTGGGGGGGTCACTGCTGAAGACCTTGCACTGTTATTGCTGGAGCATTGATTGCTACTACCCAGCTTGGTCATTACAACCATCTGCCCCCAAGGCAGGTACCTAGGGAAAAGCATAGGAAAAAGCAAACTGTGTCTTTACCAGGAGGCTCTGCCAACATCTACCAGCCTGTGGCTGTAGGTAGCCTGAGCTGGCCTTCTTATCCGGTTTGTTTCTTCCCAGAAATGTTGTTCTTTCTCCCCTTTGCCCTGTATAAGCAATTAAAAAATCTTCCAGGAAGGAGCTCCACAACTTTAATGCTTCTGTGTGATTTCCAAACCTACATCCTGCTAACTTTTTGTAACAGCCCCTACGCCTCCCTAGCCCCTTCTCCATGTATCCCGTGACTTAGCAGGACAAGCCCTGGCTCCTCTCTTAGGTACCCAAAGTAGGTATGAACACCACCAGTGCCCAGTGTCATGCCTGGCTCCCCTGGCCACTGTAGGATTAGAGAATGAGGAGCAAATGCTTTTCCTCCATGGAGATGAGATAAGCCAGGTTTTGTTGCCTGTCTCACTGCATGACTAAATGACAATCTGAGGTCTAACTGGCTGGAAACAAATCTGCTCTCTCTAACAATGAAAAAACCCAGTATTATTAGCCTCATTTTTCAGATGCTCCATTGAGGTCCTGGCAGGCTGCTGGCACTGCTGAGGCAAGGCAAGACCATGGGAGCTGCAGGGTGGCAGTGGGACAGCTGAGGATGGGCAAAGCATTTTGGGCCGCAGCCACATGAGCATCACGCTGGCCCCAGCTGCTTCCCCAGCGACGGCATGGATGACACTGGGTGCTGCTGGTGTTCGTTGGCCCTCTAAAGCATCTACCTTGGAATGCTGGTGTCCAAGAGATGTGTGCTGAGCTCCCACGTCTCCCTCTAGGCATGATGGACCTCCAGTACCTGCTCAGCAAACTCTCCCAGTGCGAGCACCTGGCCAACCTGGGCAGAGAGCTTCTCCAGGACATCTTGCGGTACCTCCACCGCATTGGGCTTGTTGTGTGGTACGAGGAAATCAAGCACTTGGAAAGCACTGTTTTTCTACAGCCTACCTTCCTAATAACTATGTTCAAGGTGAGCGTGGGGATCAGGACTGTCTTCCCTGCAGGGCCCAAGCTCTGCAGTTTTGATGGGCTCCTCTTATTGCCACCTCTTCTCTCCTTCTCTTCCCACCCAGCTCCTTGTGAGGTACCGCCTAGTACAGCAGCTCGAAAGCATCTCTGTGGACACGCTGATTGGAGAACATGCCACCATCAGAGACAGGTCCAACTGGGTGTGGACCTTCACATCAAAGGCAATGCTGTGCCACCGGGCTGTGCGTGCCCTGGTGAAGCACCAGCTCTGTTCAGAAGGGATGCGGGATGTATTTGAGGAAATCATGGGACACAGGCCCCACAGAGGTAGAGGGAAGCTCTTCAGCCTCCTGGAGCACTTCGAGCTCTGCCTGGAGGTGAGGCATGCTGAAGCACTCAACCCACAGGCCAGTGAGTTTGTGCCCGGGAAGCCGTGGGCAACAACACGGGGCCAAGGCGAGTCCTGGTACTTGTTCCCAACCTATCTGAACCAGACCAAAGAGGTCTCTGAAGTGTGGGGAGGAGATCACCCCGAGGACCTCCACATCCGTGCCTACTTCTCACCTGAAATACCTGAGGGTTTATTCCAGAGGTAAGCAGTAGCTTCCAGCCCTCGATGAGGTTGCGTGGTTCGGGATTTGCTTGGCGCAGCACCAGTATGACTGTCGGCAAGTCCTTGGCTGTTGAGACCTTATCAGCTGAAGCATGAGGCTGGGACTCAGGAGACCAGGGCAACTTCTTAGATCTGCCACAGATGTGTGGAGCCCTGGATGAAAGATTTTGATGTTCGCAGCCTGGACATGAGCAAGGACCAAGCTCCTTCTGGTTCACCTTTCATCTGGAGTGCTTTTTGGCTAGTCTGTGCCTGTCCAGGCAGTCAGAAGTCTCCCAGCCCCACCTGAGGATGGTCCAGTTTCTACGGGTGCTGGGACTGTTCCAGTTTCTGGAAGGTCTCCTGTCCTTGTGGGATTCCTGACTTGTGTCCAGAGTTTCATCTGATGGCCAACTCTGGAAGCAGCTCTTGGCTTAACAGGCTTCCTCTGCTGCTTGAGCTTTCAGTAGAGCACGGTCCTCATTAGGTGTCTGCCTCTGTTTCTACTGAAATTGGTTTCATATTTTTCAAGTCCACCTGGTGCCACGCTTTCTCCCAGTGTTAGAGATGATAAGTGGGGAGGAGGGTGGTGAAAGCCATGGGCAATCTCCTTGCAGGTTCCTGGTGAAAGCTTGTTCCTTCTACTCCACGCACTGGGTGGCCAAAGAAGCCTGCCTGCTCATATGCAACGGCAAACCTATGCTGATCAAAGAGAATAACCAGAGGGCCTACAGCTACCTGGAGCTCCGGTGCAGAAAGCCAGCAGGAAGGACAGGTAAGGATCCCTGATCCTTATTTCATGACTCCCAACCACATGTCTCTCCTTAGCTCCACCCCTCTTTGGCAGTGTCCTAGTCTGGCCAGGGTCCACCAGCTGTTCAATTAAAGATTTCCCCTTTCTCCATGCAACCTGGTCAGAATTCTTCTCAAGGTATCACATGAAAGTAGAAAGTCAAGTTTTCAGTCTTCTCATGGAGCAAATGGGTTATCCTTCCCCAAAAGGTCCCAGCAGAGTACACTCTAATGCTGGGTCCTCAAGTGATAAGCAAAAGGGCCATCTGAGTTGGGGAGCTCTTCCAACATATCTTTAAATTCCCTTTGAAGGCTGATGGGCCTTGGTTAACTTGAGAAATGGAGCTGGCCCAACTGTTCTGGCTGTGGTCTGGTGGGCTGGAAGTGGTGCGTGCATCGCCACAGCATCTCCTGGGCTGCCATGGTTGAGTGGCTGTAAGTAAGTGAGATGTTCTCCTTTTGCCTGGAAGGCTTCCAGTTTGCCTGGGACTTCCTCATGGCAGTTGTGTTCATCATCCAGAAGCTCGCTGAGGAGTGGCCGGGGCTGCACGTGTGCATGAAGACCCCCTGCCGAACGACTGGCTGTCCTGCAGAGTTCATCTGGCCAGACATGGATGGCACAATCGCCATGTACGTATGTGCTGTGCCCCTCCAAGCCAAGGGCTGGAGCCGGGTGGTTGCCACTGCAATGCTGGCGGGGCTGGTCAGCTTCTAAAAGCCATGTAGAGTTAGTTGTGAAACTCACCGGGCGCTATGTTGCCCTTCTCCTGACCATAGCAGCCCGTGTCCCACATGGTGTTAGCATTTACATGGTGGGAAATTCAATCATGGAAAGAAAGGTGAAAAAGCTGAGACTCTGGGGCTCAGGCACATAATGTCCACTCTGGTCAGATGCCCCCATGTCCCCCATTTCATGAAGAGCTGAAAGTGCTCAGGCACCTGGGAAGGCAGCAGCTGTCCCACCAACAGTGGGACCTCAGGTCAGGGTGGAAAGAGGGAGCCTATACCATCATCTTGGCATTGTCTTACATGGGAAGTGCTGAGGGCAGCTCCTGCTCCTTCTTCTTCTTGGGGCTTTTTCTTCCACAGGACAAAGGAAGACGTTAAAACCTGTGGGACATGTGGACATCGCTTTGGTGCAGAGCTGCTCCTGCCCAAAGGTGAGCCCAATAGTCTTGGGTTTGCACTGCAACAGTGCTCAGGGGGGAGGAGGGCTGAGGGTTTCATGTAGCTGAGGTGCTGCCGGTGTCCTCCCATCCCCACTCCTCCACAGTGCCCAGGCAGCTGGAGGAGCCCCCGGCACAGCCTTCCACTCACTATTATGTGACAAGCTATGGGACCACCACCTTTGGGCCCAGCAGCATCCACGTCAATCAGCAGGTAAGGAGGCTGCCACCTCCCCTTGCCCAGGGTCCAACACTGATAGCCAGGCTTGTCCTCTCCCCTTGCTCCTGAAATGAGGGGGTGCAGCTGCTTCCAGCCCAGGGAGGGGACACCCCATCTTGGGGCAGCGCCCTGCTTACCACACTCCTCCCCGAGCTACCACCACATGTGCGCCCCAGAGCTGAGCTCTGGCTGCTTCATGTTGTAGTTACTGCCTTATTTTTCCAGAACATCTCAATTGAGTAACTCTGGGCCAGCGGGGAGGCACTCACCAAAGAGAGAAGAATTATTTTTGTTTAGCCAAAGCCAAGCTGTCCTCAAACATGCTTTGCTTTCAAGTCACGTTTGCAGCCTTAATGCATGGAAATAAATGAATCAATAAATGCATCCCTTCATGCATAGGAAGTCACCTTGTTTACACAAATCTAAGGGGGAGAAGGTGCCGACAAGTGCTCTGGTACAAGCCTGCTGCCAGCAGGGGCTTTGGGCCAAGGCTGGCCATGGACCCCCATAGTTTTGAGGGATGGGGGGGGTGAAGGTCTCAGATTGATAGTGGGGCAGATGTCTGGGCCACATCAGCAAGCAGGAAGCACCTTTCTATACATATATATTTAAACTTAGAAAATTTAAGAAAATAAATCTGTAAATGACCACACTCCACAAAAACAAACATTAGCAGCTGACAGAGTCGAAAAGCAATGTGTCAACTCTGGGACCAGCTGGTGAAGCTGTCCTTGGGGTGAGGGGAGTGGAGGAGGAAAGGTCCCCACCATAGGCATTCTGCCACAGCACTCCTGGGGGGGATGCCAGTTTTCCTGGACCCCCATGACCGGCGGTCGCACGCTGGCTGGTGCCTGTCCTGGGGGGCCACTGGGAGCAGGGGTCAGTCCATCTGCATGTTGCATTGCTCGATGAGCTCGAAGAGGCTGAAGGAGTCGGAGAGCTGCAGGCTGATGGTGCCGCTGTCAAGGGAGGAGGCTCCCTCCCGCAGCACCTGCTCGTGCCAGTACTCGCAGAACTTGGGCACCAGCTGTGGAAGCAAACCGCCGGGGTTAGGGGCAGCCGCCTGGTATGGCTGCAATGCCCTGCATGGCCCTGGCCTCCTGGAGTGGAGGAAAGAGGTGTGCAGAGCACCCTGTATCTCCCCCAGCCCCTGAGGCTCCCCATCCCTGGGCAGCTGCCTCCCATCCCATCCTGCCCAGCCACCAAGGGTCCCCCATCTAGGGTGGCCCTCTCTGGACTCCTGGCCACCAAGGGTCCCCTACCCAGGCACCTGCCACCCCATATTCCCCCTGCTCCCCATGGGTTCTTCTCCCTAGGCATGCAGCCCCCATCCCCAAGGGTCCTGCTCCTTGGGCACCCAGCCTCCACCAACTCCCCGGGCCTTCAAGGGTCCCCCTCCCCTGTCACTCAGTTCCCCCATCTCTCCCTGGGTTCCCAGATTCCCCATCTCCCCTGGACCCTGAGGGTCTCCTTCCTCAGGCACCCAGAGCCCCATCTCCGCTGGTTCCCAAGAGTGTCCCCCTCCCTGGGCAGCAGTGGAGCAGTGGTAGGTGTTGGCCCCTGCAACCTTGACCAGGATGAGCTTGGACTCCTTGGGCTTGGCCTTGGAGAAGGACTGCCCGAAGCAGAGGTAGATGGTGAAGTCAGGGGACCGCTGCCTTTGGCCGTTGCGGAAGTCTCTCAGCTCTGCAAGGGGAGACAGGGCTCAGTTTTGGGGTAAGTCTGGAGGAAATGGAGGGGCTGGGAGGGTTCGGATGCTTGTGACATCTTGGAGCTGGCTCCCATGAGCCCCAAAACCAGGATGCCAGGGGGGACCACCCCTGCCCACCTGTGCAAAAGTCATTGAAGTCAAAGATGGGGGTTTCTTGGTCCCGGTAAAGCAGGTTGGAAGGGGGGTCCTTGACACCTTCGAGCTGCTGGGACAGGGCCCAGAAGACCTTGCACTTCTTCAGGCGGGTGGCAAAGAGCTTGCGGGCGCGTTGCTCCAGCTGCAGCCCTGCGCTGCCCAGCAGCTCCTCGGTGAAACGCCGCTGCTTGCTGTCGGCCAGCTCGGCAGGGCTGGGGAAGCGCACCAGGCGCCCAGGACGCAGGGCCACCGCCGGGTCGG